TTGAGTCCTGGGCAGAGAGTTAAAAAGTTTAAACTCTAGTTAATTCAAAAATGTCTTTCCACAATGAGAGATGATGAATCGTGCTTGGAATAAACTGTCCCTCTCATTGAGTTTATATTATGGTCGCCATCTAATTTGAACTGTGAATTAGGATCATCACACACACCCAGTGTCTAGGGTCAGGCATTTATTGAAGCACAATGCTGTTTCATGCACTGTAATCATTTCTTAAGCATGAATAATTTAATAGGATGGAATCCCCTTCTCAGCTGCTAATCTGTGCTTGAAAATAAAACCCCACCCACTGCTACCCACCATGAGCTAAATACACACACCACGCACACAGCAGGGACTAATCTCAGACCGGGAGGGGGGAGGGGAGGGGTGGGGGCGGGACTGGAGAACAAGCGGAGGAGACCCAGAGAGCGATAACCAGAGGAATCAGGCTGAGCTGAAGAGAACGTGAAGATGTCACATCTTTGAGTCAAAGAGCAAATCCATGCTGAGAACATCACTTTCACTGGATTATCACACACAGCAACTCTTTAATATTGTAATACTCCTTTTTGTGAAATTCAAAGCAGCTCATATGGCTTGTTTCACATTCTGCTACACTGTGCTTGTTGCTATCTAGGTGCACACTAAAAACTAAAATTGATTTAAAATACAAAAATTCTAAAAATGTGTATTCTATTGGACATTTTGAGATAAAAAGTCAAAATTAAGTTAGCGTTAGGGTTAAACTGTGAGAAGTCATAATTCAATTTTGTCATAATAATGATATCACAATCTCAATTTCACTAAATATTAAATCATTTTTAATCTCATAAATGTAAAAATTTTTCAGTCATATTTTTTTTTGTCATTTTGACATTCTGACTTTTTATGTTGTAAATTTTTACGTTTTAATTTAGATTTATTTTGCCATAATTTCAACTTTTTATGTAATAATTTTGACTTTTTATGTCAACTAATCAACTTTTTTTAGTATAATTATTTTTCATATGATACTGACTTTTTATGTTATAATTATGAGTTAGCAAAGCAAGATTTTTATTACATGGCAGAAATGGGCTTCCATTGATAACAAGAGTGCAAAGTGGCCCCAAAATCTGAAATAAAATCTGAAATACATAAAACAAAAACAGAGGAAATGAGCATTAGCAATAAAATATCAAACACTGATTGACTTATACAAAAAAAAAAAATTATTATCAGAAAATCTAAAATATGCTGTGCATTCCTACCTAATCTAATATAAAAAAAATGTAATAAAATGAATAATACTCTAAGCAGCGCAGATAACACCTGATTAAACTGCAAGTTTTTCACCCCCGAACCGTTTGTACATGTATACCAGTTCTCATCATACAGATGTCAGTCTGTGCTAATTCAAATCATCAATCAATCATGCAACAGACTAAACAAGCAGCTTTGTTGCTTTGACACGCAGAAGGCAGAATTGAATTTATTCCCCTTAATTACCCTTCAACACAGAAATACATGACAGAGTGTAAATTCAAAAGTTACTGGATCCAAAATTTCACACCGAAGAAGAACTAACTATTATCATTCTGATATTTATAACAGTTTACATTCAACTTGTCATGCTGATTATATCATTTGTATTAAATTGAATTCAATTTGAAAAATGCAACTTTTTATGTTATAATTATGAGTTAGCAAAGCAAGATTTTTATTACATGGCAGAAATGGGCTTCCATTGATAACAAGAGTGCAAAGTGGCCCCAAAATCTGAAATAAAATCTGAAATACATAAAACAAAAACAGAGGAAATGAGCATTAGCAATAAAATATCAAACACTGATTGACTTATACAAAAAAAAAAAATTATTATCAGAAAATCTAAAATATGCTGTGCAT